AAGTTCTATGATTAATTAAGGAAAATCACGACAATCAAAAGCATTGTTAATTATGGGTAGGCTGCATTTTATGAATTTGAAAAGAATGCAGGGATCATTTATGTAAATTTACTAAGGATAGGGAAAATACTAAGGAGAGAGAGAGAAAGTTACAATGATAAGATGCAACCCGTATTCAAGACCAGCTCACTCAGCCAAGAAGTTCAACCCGCATTCAAGCTCGACGAGTCTCTTAACGATAAGCCTCTCATCAATAAGCCTAAGATCGATAAGCTCTCATCGGCCAATCCCACACCGACAAGAGTCTTATCTTTGACTACGTCATAAAGACTTTGTTATTTCCCATGCATTGGAAGCTTGCAACATGGCACTTTAGGACAGACACAAGTATTGGAAATATTGTACTTTTAATAGCTCCTAGTTTCTAAGTATTCCTAGCTTCTATATTTGACTTTAGTCTTTTGCTTTTCTTTTGTGTTGCTATAAAAGGCCATCCGGTTTATGTAGAAAGCAAACTGAATTTGAATAATGAAATTTGCTTAATGCAATTCTCTTGAAGAGTTTATACCCCTTAAAAATCTAGAAGAGTTTTCACTCCATCCTTGAAGAGTCAGAGCTTTTAAAGTTTGCATCCTTGAAGAGTTGCGGCCATCAATCTGGAAGAATTGATGCCATTTCAACTTCCATATAGGCCTAGAAGAGCAAACATCGTAGTTCCTATCCTTTTCAGCATTCCATCAATTCTCATTCATCCAATTCCTCCCCAATTTCGACCTTCCTAAAGTATTCATCTGAGAAAACTCAAAACATAAAATATGTAGATCTGAGAGTCTTCATACTTTTGGCTTTGGAATCAGGTCATTCCGATCCGAATCGAGAAAGTTACGACCATTTTCTTGAGCTAGCGCAGAACTGAAATTTCTGCTATTTTGTGTCAGAGTTTTTCATGTGTGTATGTCACTCTACCGATCCCGTTCTTTAAGTAATCGAGCTTGGACTACATTGCTTTAGGCTGCTTAGTATTTCTTAAAAAATTACGAGCATTAAGACCTTCGAGCTTACGATAACTTGAGAAACTATTTGTAAAGGTGGAGCACTAACTACCATATACAAGGACTTATGACTAATTTACGATTATTGTGGTCAATTATTGATTATAAGTTGTGCCTCTCACGATAATTTCAAGTACCTTACCATCCCATTAGTTAATTGCTAAGTGATAGGAAATTCTTCGAACTGTATATCTCGATTAGCACACAAAAGGGAAACTACCAACTAGACATGCAATTGAGATCGTGATGATTTCAAGCTAATCACAATTGTTGGAAGTATACTTATTAAGGACAGGAACCACAAGTTTTGACCGGTTGAGGAAAATTACCCTTAGCACGATTGTTTAATAATCCCATCGTCGAGTTACGAATTATAAAAGGAAGTTATTACTAATAATGGAAAAATGCAAAATAATTGTTGACACCTAAATTTTGGCGTATCATTTAGTGTAATTTGCATAGAAAATTAGGGATTAAATTTTTAACCCCTAAACAAAATTATTTAAATTGCATAAACATATAGTTTAGGTCCATTTAATTTAATTGCATTTTTTACATTAGATTGGCAGTGGCGAATGAGCTTAAAATTTCATCGAACGAGACTCGGCTCGCTCGGAAGGCAAGGGCCGGGAATTACAAGTCAAACGGGCTCGGTTGTTTTAATTTGAGTTTAATTCGGCCCATTATGCTTAATTAAATAAAAGCCCAAGTTAAATCAGCCCATTTAAATTAAATTAAACCTAAGCCCAAGCCTAAGCCCATTAGGACTATAGAGCCCATCTAATTGACCTAGGTTAGCATTATATCAAGATGTTTAGGTCAGATTTCAAAGGTAGGGGGGAGAAAAATTTTCAGATCTGATTTTGAGAGCTCAAGTGCGAGAGTGAGAGCTCAAGTGCGAGAGTGAAAGAAAGGGAGAGAAGGGAGGCCGGCAACACCACCACCCGTGGTCTTGCCTCCCATCGCGCGTCACCGCCGCGTCGGAGGACCGCCGACACCGTCCCGGTCAGCCACCATCACTCCTTCCCTGTCCGCAAGTTATAGCCATTGAAGGACCATCGTCGCTGCTTTGCCTCGCCGAACAGCCTATCCCGAGAGGCTGTTGCTGCTTCTCCATGCACCAGCCACATCTCCTCCAGTCAACCGAGGAGCTTGTCAACGCCTCCTCTCCATCCTGTTGGTCCACGAAGCAGCAGCTACAGTTTTGAAGATTCCCCATGCAGTGTGCATAAAGACGTCTTCGTTCAGCCGCTTTCCCTCCCCAAGCTGAAGACTCTTCCCTGTCCAGCGGCCAATCAACAGAAGCTGCAAGCGGTGCACGTCAGTGAGGCCACAGCAAGCACTTCGTCCAGCGCAAGATCAGTACCACATCACCCGGAACCGTTCGCACATCGCTGTGAGCCCCCGCCATGTTGCTGTTCAGCCGGTCATCGCCCCCGCCGTCTTCGACGCCCGTGAGCCACCGTGTCGTCGCCACCACCGCCGTCTCGATCCGCAAAGCCCGATCCCGATCCACAATTCAAATTTGGAAGTTATCTGCAAATTAGGTAATTCAACATTATCCGATATTTTCAGAATATTTAATTTCCTAATATGGGTGTTTGAATATTTCGTGAATATCATGTGGATATTTAGATATCTTAGGATAATGTTCGATATATCCGCAATATTTTTAAATATTCAAAATTAGGAAAACTTCCTAATTTAGCAACGTATCTGGACGACTATCCGACCTTATCCCTAAGGTTCGATACGCGGCGATACGGAAAATTATTATCTTATCCATAACCACTTGGGTACGATAATGATTTTTATCCGCTTTCCAAATTTGAATAATCGTCTCTCCGTCGATATCTATAACCCTATAGATATGACCGATAGTTTGATTTGTATGCCTAATCCGAGTTTGAAACAAATATGGCGGATCGCGTGGACGTTTTGAATGTGGTTGCTATCCTTGTTTATTTAATTGCTTTCCTTTTTTCAAATAAACAGAAAATTCAAAAAAATATTAATTAGATTTGAATTAGAGTTTTTGCATGTCTAGGAATCCTAAATATATCTAGAAGATAGAGTAGTTATTTAATTTAAATTAGGACTTGAGATGATTTATTTCCTAGTTTAAATTAAGTAATATTCTAATCTTAATAGATTATTCAGGTTATTTTATTATTTCGAATTTCCATGAAAATCCCAAGAAAAGAAGAATGAATTGTTTTAGGATAGATTAGGATAGATTGTATTCTTAATTTAAGTAATTCATTATTTCGAATTTTAACAAAAATCCTAAAAAGAAATCATGCTAGGGTAGATTAAGTCATCATAGTTTTCATGTTAATTTAGGCATTTTTATTATTCCGAATTTAAATTGAGAAAATACCAAAAATAATCATTCGTCCTGTCATTAGAAATAGGTCACGTCGTCGCACGACATATAGTTTGCATGCTAGGTTGCATTAATCGCATGTCATTTTCGCATGTCATTGCATATAGGCTAGCTTTCATTTAAATAAGTGAAAATCCAAAAAAATATTGAGTGAACTGCTTGTTAATTAGAAATCATATTAGAATTGTTAATGTGATTTTCTAGCTAACAATGCAGATGCTTACGTTGCTTCGAGGTAAGTAATTCTCCCAATCTTGCAATTTATTTAATGTTTTGATTATTGGGTGTTACTTTGGTGGTTTGCGCATCCGCATGATCACCTCACATGCTAGCAACTAAGTTAAAATGGATCCAGACTGCCTGCATAAATATTTTTGAAAAGAAAGGTACCGAAAGGGCGTTAGACTAGATCTAGCGTAATCAAGTCCCCGAGCTTAGAATCTCTGGTTCGTAGGAATAAAACATATCTCCCTATGTTTTATTTAGGTTTCTAATCGACCTACCATAAATAGATTAGTGGCGACTCCAAGCATGAAAACTTTTGCATGTTAAAAACTTAAACCCTAAGTTGCGAATTGGTAGGGCTTGGGAGGGCCCGAGTTAAGCTTAGTCTTAACAATCCATTAGCCTGAGAAATTTTAGGTCATGACAATAATCAACTACCAATTGTGACTAATTAAAGAAAATTATAATATTGCTGGATAATTCCTAGTGACAACATCCTCAATTGAAACGGTGTATATGAATGTCATATTTTAACAAAATTTAATGAACAATAAGTGCAATCAGATTATAATTGAGTTTAGCCAATTTACCATAGCTTTAGGTCAATTACGAAGTAATAGACCACTCGCGATGGTTTGAGGTAACTTACTATGTCATCAGGAAATTGCTAAGTATGTTGCAAAATGAGTAATTCACCTTGAAGGCGGCAAAATCTCTGAAGACTGTAATCTACCTTGTAGAAAATAATTCAAAGTAGTAATTTAACCAATTTTTAAAGTAGTAAGTTCCCTTGTAATTACCAAATTGAGTGAGTGCTTATCCTTGATGATCTTAATTATACTTATTCTCAGTAAATTGCTAACAAAGCCAAATCGTAGCAACATACTATTGTATCAGAAATGCAAAATGATTTTCATAGGTTATATGTTTTATTCATGAAATTAGTTTCAACGTCTTTAATTTACCTCTATGTTTATAAATATCTATCTTGCAGCTCATAAATTATCTTTTGAATCCGTAAATTGTCTGCGACCAAAGTAAACTACAAGTAAGGACGCGCATGAAATCATTTCTGTTTCTCTATTTTTCTATTTTTCTATTCCCAAGAACAGGTTTGGAACAGAAATCTATTTGATAACGCAATTTCATTTTTCTATTTTTGGGATAAATTTCTATTCTAGAAATAGGTTTGGAACAGAAATCATAAGTAAAAAAAAATTACTTTTCTATTTCTGAAACAGAAATGAGAAATAAAAACTCTTTTTATCGCTCACCCTAGCTACTAGCTAGCCACCCCCTTGCCACTTGCTATTGCCGCCGACCGCCTCCTCCCACCGTCATCCTCCGTCGTTCGCCACCGCCCAACGTCGGCCACAACCTGCCCACCGTTGCCTCTCGCCGTCCTTCGCCGCCACCTGCCAGCTGGCTCCCGCCGCCTCTTGCCGCCGACTACCGTCCTTCGCCGCGGCCACCGGCCGCCGTCCTCCGCCGCCGGCTGCCCACCACCGACCGCCTTCCTTCGCCGCCGGCCGCTGTGCTCCACCACCAGGCGCCGATCGCCCTCCACCGCCGGCCGCCTCCCGCCGCCAGCTGCCACCACTGACCGATGTCCTCCAGCGCCAACCGCCCTCCGCCGCCGGCTGCCTCCCACCGTGCTCCACCACCCAATGCCATCCGCCTCCGTCCATCCTCCGCCCCCGGCAACCGCCGCCAGCCGCCGTGCTTCGCCATTGGCCGCCGTGCGCCACCACCCGACACCAGCCGCCGCCCGGCGCCAATCGCCTCCCGCCACCGGCCATTGTCCCCCGCCCCCCGCTGCCACCCACCGTCCTCCACCGGCAGCCCAGAAGGGAGAAATTTTGTGTCGTTATCAAACGAATTTCTATTTCGGAAATAGAAATTTTGTGTCGTTATCAAACACGCATTTTTGCTCAGAAACTCGTCCACAGAATAGAAATAGAAAAATCTATTTCTTGCCAGAAATTGATTTCTTAAATAGAAAAATCTATTTCTGGCCAGAAATTGATTTCTAGAATAGAAATGTTACCATGTGCGCCCTAATTGGCTATAGTAGGTCAATTTTGCACTCGGGATGGAGTTTCCCCTTTTTTTTTCATTAGGGGACCGTAGAATCGCCCCCGATAAGTTAGAAACGAGCTTAAGCCCGAAGCAGAGGATCTTAGAATGTAGAATCGCCAAAGCACGTAATTTGTGTATATGAGGGCAATTTAGGGCAAGGACTGTCAAACAAATCAAAATTCGATATCACACAATACAAAAGTTAAAGAAGAGACTGCGGGTCTTTTCTTGATGATAATGTCGATGCCAAGTTTCACGAGGTCTACAGAGCCGCGAGCAACATCCGTCCAAGCATTTCAATGCAGAAACATCCGAGACGTCTTCATCTAATTTGTAATGGAAGGGGAATATGTTTTACGTGTTTCATATAATCACGACACTGATCGAATCAATCAGAAACTTATGGCCCTTCAATCTTTGAAATTTCAACGTAAGAAAACGAAGATCAAACTCTCTTTTGGCAAACTTTGGACGCATGGCAAGGCTAATGCCTCCGCATTGAGCTTAAACCATGGCTCCATTTGTAACCATCTTCCTAACACAACCATATGGTAGAATAATTTCTCCGAAACTGCCTTAGGTTACGGCTCATTCAGATTGAGCAAGCATTGGTGCAGAAATTATCTCAGTCACGCATCCATGAAATTCATGTCCTATCAAAGCAATATACATGAACTATTGGAAGTTGCCCTAGTGGCCCCCTTCTCACTTGAGAAGGTGAGAAGGGGGAAGTAGAGAATTCGATTCCTCACCTTTTCAGGGGGGATAGGGGTGGGGACGCGTAGTTTAAGGTGTGAATTTCGACTCTCACGCTCTGTAATAGACAGGGCAAAAGTTTAAAAGTGAGATAAGAGGTAAAGTAGGAGTAAGAGTAGGACTGACTAAAAAAAAAAAGTAACATACATGTTTGTGCGAATGAAGTGATTCGACAACATTTTGCATGAGTAGATCGTGGCTGCTTTACACATGATCAAAGGATGTGAAGGTTCGATAGAGACTATAACAGTACCTTTTGAAGTTGCCAAAGCGGCTTACGTAACCTATGTCATGTCTTATCTTTTTACATTACGGAAACTTTGATTTTTTCAGCCACAATAAATCTCCAAGAATCATCACCTTACGTGACATCCACGGACATTCGGGTGAGCTGAGCCACAGGTTTGCAAATAAGAAATATCTACCGATCCCCTTTCGGTCTCCATCAAGCATACCGCGGAGGTGTGAGTATACTGGAGGAGTGAGCATCCCGAAACTCTCTCTTTAGACAGCCAAACATGGAGTCCGAGCTCTACGAAGCCACCGTGAGAGGGGGAAAATTACCAAAAAAGTCCTAAACCTTTTGCAATTATGCCAATTCAGTCCTATACCTTTTTTTTTGTCAATCCAGTCCTAAACCTTTTGCAATTGTGCCAATTCAGTCCATCCAGCCACTTTTGGCCGACCGGCGCTGATGTGGACGCCGGCCGGCTGACGTGGCAATTTTTAATAATTTTTTATTATTATTTTTCGAATTTTTTTATTTTTTCTCTTTCTTTTTTATTTTTTGCCTATATTCTTCCCCGGTCGCCGGTCCGGCGACCGGCAAAAGGCTGAGGCCGGCGAGGTGGACCTCGCCCTCGCCGGGTGAGGTCGACCTCGCCAGATATGGGCGAGGCCTCGCCCGGCGACAGCGAGGCCGCCCAGATCTGGCGAGACCTCGCCGTCGCCATGGCCTGGCAAGCTCGACCTCGCCCGGCCATGGCAACGGCGAGGTCTCGCCAGATCTGGGCGGCCTCGCCGACCTCAGCCTCTCGCCGGTTGACGGTCGCTGGACCGACGACCGGGGAAGAAGATAGGCAAAAAATAAAAAAGAAAGCGAAAAAAATATAAAAATTCGAAAAATAATAATAATAAATTATTAAAAATTGCCACGTTAGCCGGCCGGCGTCCACGTCAGCGCTGGCCAGCCAAAAGTGGCCAGATGGACTGAATTGGCACAATTGCAAAAAGTTTAGGACTGAATTGGCAAAAAATAGGTTTAGGACTGAATTGGCACAATTGCAAAAAATTTAGGACTTTTTTGGTAATTTTCCCCCGTGAGAGGAGATGTGCCTTCTTTACTCGAGTTGCTCGGAAAAGATAAGCTGCTTCTTGACCGAATCATGACTGGGAATCGCACCGAGAGTCCTCTGCACATCGCAGCCATGCTCGGACACTCAGATTTCGTGGAAGAGGTCCTAGCTCGGAAGGCTGAGCTGGCAAGAGAGCAAAATTCTCAGAATTCGACGCCTCTTCATCTCGCGGCAGCAAAAGGGTACCTTAACATAGTGGTAAGCTTGTTAAGAGTCAGCCCTGAAATATGTTTTGTCCGGGACAAATACAAAAGAAACCCTCTTCATGTCGCGGCCATGAAAGGCCATGTGGATGTGCTGGAACGCTTGGTTCGAGCGAGACCTGATGCAGCCTGTAGTGTCGTCGAACATGGCCAGACAATCCTGCATTTATGCGTGAAGCACAACAAACTGGAAGCTTTGAAGCTTTTGTTAGATATCTTGGGCGATGATCAGTTCATCAACTCGAGGGACGAAGATGGCAACATGATTTTGCATTTGGCTGCTGTGGATAAACAAACCGAGGTATTTCCATACAACCAAGCCTCTGCACTTGTCAAATTCAGTGAGCTTATCAACAAAAAAGGCTGTCCTAGGAAACATGAATGTACTAGAAATATTCGGAAGCTAAAAAATATCCATTTATAAATCATCACAGGTTGTGATATTTACAAAAGAAGTTATTGGTATAGATAATTAACTACAACTTTACACTCCACGCTAATTTCACACTAATTTTATCTAGATTAGAAGAAACACAAAACAGAGAAGCAGAAGAAATTCAACGAGGGATGAGTTTCCCTTTTGAAAGCATCAAATAATAGTCACAAACACTAGAGGACTTAAAAACACTAGAAGCAAAGTTAATCCTGAAAAGTATGTGACATGGGCTTGTCTAGTTCAAACCTGACACCAATTGATACATTCTGTTGTGACTACTCTGCAGACTATAAACTTCTTGATTAATAAAGGAGTAAACCTGAACATTACGAACTCTAAAGGTTTCACAGCTCAAGGCCTATTAGCACAAGGCCAAAGCGTGGAAAAAGCCTAAGAGATTATGGATTACGTTCCTCAAACTTCAGAGAATCACAACCCATCCAGACAAGCAGTCCATGTGAATAACACTTTCATAAAAGAGGGCAAGAGGGAAAGGAAGATAAAGTGGCAAAACGGTATGCATAAGGCGCTAATGGTGGTGGCGACATTGGTAGCTACCATATTTAGCTTATGAAGCGGGTATGAACCCACCTGACAAATCTGCAAAGGCAGATGAGGATTTTGATGAGGATTACAAGTCCTTCATAGCATGTAACACAATAAGCTTCATCGCATCGCTTAGCACCATTATGCTTCTCATAAGTGGTCTTCCTTTAAAGTGGCGTCGGATCACCACGTGGATTGCAATGCTGACTATGTGGGTCGCAATAACCTTCACAGCATTGAGTTATTCGTATATCATAGTATTCTCCTCACCGAAGAAGGACAAACCGTATGCTACAGATACAGTAGTTGGAAATGCGGTGCATATATGGGGGGGATTGATGTCTCTTATTTTCCTGTGCCACATAATTCGCTTAATCCTGAAATTGGTACGCAAAGTCCTGAGACTTGTATTCAAAGTCCTGAAATTCGTCTGCAAAGCCTTAAAAAAACGGAAGAGAGAGGATCTTATAGTTTAGTGGCTGTATATAGCTACAAGTGTGCTTGTCCCAGAAGAAGTGCACTGAGCCATGAAGCCATGCAAGAGTAGATGCTATACAGTATGTGCCATTCAGTGTGCCCATTAGCCACTTAGGTACGATACATTTGAGAATGCATGCATGTGTGTTTGTTCTGGTTTCAAACAGCAAGTGTCTTAGGCGTGTTGAATCTATGTAAAAAAATGGAGTTTACATGGATGATGGATGGAGTATCAACAGTTGTTAATATTATATTAATACATGGAATTCTCTTTTCTTTCTTCGTTCTTCATATGCTGTACTTAATGTGAGGAGTGAGTTGCGGTTGTAGTCAGATTGCAGATAGTTACAATTATGAAGAGAACACATGCTATAGTGGTGGTATGATTTGTTTTTCCCTTTATTTGGTCAGGTATGACAGGGGGACTTTCCAGTTGGGGAAAGAAAAAAAAAAAAGAATGCCAGTTGTAATAATGCCAACTAAAAATGGAAAAATACTTACCATAATTGTCGTGACCAACCTCCGATTTTTATCAATAAAAAGAGGGATCTCGCCTGGTACGCACCAAGTCTAAGTTTGGGACTTAACTCGGACTCTCCCAAATCCATACCATATCACGACTTAGGGTTTAGATTTTTAACGTGCAAGTGATTTTTATCTAGAAGTCGCCACTAATCAGTTTAGGGTGGGTCGATTAGATACCCAAGTAAGACAATGAGAGAATTGCTTACTTCTGCGAACCAGAGATTAAATGAGTTCGGGGACTTGGTTACACTTGTTGAATAACTAATGCCATTTCGGTACCTTTTTACCCTATTCATTTCAGAAAATATTTTGTCGGGCAATTTGGATTGATTTTAGGACCTTTCTCCTAACATGTGAAGTGATCGAGCGAGCGCACAATCATTAACGATTAGCTATCAAGACAGATATGCAGCCTATAGTTA